CTATGAGCGGCCGTGTGTACGCCCCAGGCATGGCCTCTGGCCTCTGCCGATGGGGCCCATCCCCAGTTATTAGTGTCTAACCCCCTCCCCCCCTTAATTAAGCAGAATTAATTTGTTAACTAAATCAGTTAGCCCTGTGTCACTGACAGCCTTGCCCTACCTCACTAATTAATCTAATTAGATTAACTAAAAGATTGTTAATAATCACTGCCACTGACCAGTGGGCCACTGACCAGTTTGACCAGTCAAAGTCAATAGTTGACTGCTGACTGTACTTGCTGACTGGGCAATTGACTTGGTCAACTGACCCCACCTGGCAGCCTCTACGCACTCTGCTGGGTACACTTATGTGTACCCATAGCAATTTAGCCTTTTATTTTCAAATAGATTTAATTTTAGAAATTGTTTAAATCTCTAAAAATTAATATAAAATAATCTGTAACTCGGATGAAAAAACTTTGTACATGAGAGTTGCTCAGAACGACGAGACGAATCCGGATACGCAACCCGTTTGTCCGCCACACATCCCTAGCATAGCGAACATGCAACTTTCCCCCTCTGGTTCATCTGTCCGAAAACGCGAAACACCGGGCATATTTTCCTGGGTGTTTCCCCCCTTCACCGATATCACCTCATACTGCGTTAGGTCACCCCTAGCACCACGCAATGCCATGTTATGCTTTATGTTGCTTTGTTTGCTCTGTTATTTATTGTGTTTACTCTCCGTTACTTGTTCCCGGTAGACCCCGAGACCGCAGCCGGCGACCCCCAGTTCGGCTACGGTCTCGACGACCCCTCCTTGCCAGAGCAACCAGGCAAGCCCCCCCTTGATCACCAGATATCGCCTACTCTTCTCTATACTGCTTGCATTAGAGTAGTGTAGCATGTTACTGCTTTCCGTTAATCCTATTCTGATGCATAGCCTGTCCTTGCTACTACTGTTGTTACCTTTACCTGCAATCCTAAATTCTTAGTATAAGATGCTAGTGTTCCATCAGTGGCCCTACACTCTTGTCCGTCTACCATGCTATACTACTGGGCCGTGATCACTTCAGGAGGTGATCACGGGCATATGATATATACTTTATACTGTTACATTACTTGATACTGTTCGGATATGGGGGCTGAAGGGGCAGGTGGCTCCATCCTGGTAGTGGTGGGCCTGAGTTCCCGACGGCCCCGACTGTTACTTTGAGGCGGAGCGATAGGGCAGGTTGAGACCACCTAGGAGAGAGGTGGGCCTGGCCCTGGTCGGCGTTCGCGGATACTTAAACATGCTTAACGAGATCTTGGTATTTGATCCGAGTCTGGCCACTGGCTTATACGCACTAACCATCTACGCGGGGACAGTTATGGGCACTCGACGTTGTGGTATCAGCCGAATCCTTCATGACGTCAGCGACTGAGCGGCGCGCGCCGGGTTGGACCGCGTAACGCAACTTCCTTTGTAATGGAGGTTGCTAGGTCTGCTCTCCGGCCGCCCACGCAACGCGCAAGTGTGCAATGGGCGATGGGCCCAGACCCTTGCGCCATAGGATTTAGACCGGCGTGCTGACCTCTCTGTTGTGCCTAGGTAGGGCCGCGACGTGTTGATCTTCCGAGGCCGGGCATGACCCAGAAAAGTGTGTCCGGACAAAGGGGATCGAGCATGTTGGGAAATGTGGTGCACCCCTACAGGGAAGTTGATCTATTCGAATAGCCATGTCCCTCGATAAAAGGACGACCCAGAGTTGTACCTTGACCTTATTGTTGGGGAACGTAGCAGAAATTCAAAATTTTCCTACGCGTCACCAAGATCTATCTATGGAGAAACCAGCTACGAGTAGAAGGAGAGTGCATCTA